CCACCTACTGCTTAAAGTCAACATAACTATACAACTACAAAGTAAAGAATTGTGTCGGAATCTATTTTCCAATTTAACATTTTGTTGCAGTTGTGGGAAAATTCACGTTATATTAGCAGTTTCACAATAAATCTCTAATAGGATACGTTTAATGTAAAAAAAAGCAAAACATCTTCTTTTCTACATATAAATAATACTTTTAAACATTTAAATGATATTTATTTTTTAGTATTTATTCAGGAGTATTTAGGTGTCTAAGTTAACGCTTTTTAACCCCCCTTTACTTCCGTTTTATTGCTGAAGTCAGTAAACCCAGGATAAGCTACACATTTCACTTCTATCAAACACTTAATCAAAATCAGATGAAATCTGATTTAAAGCCACGCCCCTAATCTGCTGATTTCCAAGGCAACCACGGCACCAGCTCTTGATTGGTGGGCCCGAATCAAACGCGTGCTCAATCAAGCTACAAATAGGCAATTTTCACAACTTCTCGGTCCCTTCGCCTTTCATCAGCAGAGGATTCAGGTATTCTTTGTCTGCAGCCCAAGCGTCAGCGTCACCATCATGGTTGAGCAGTTTGTTGGAAACTGGACTCTTGTTAACAGCGACAAGTTTGATGACTACATGAAAGCAGTCGGTAAGCTTGTTCATTTTGTGTGTTTGTTTGATTAAAACGATGCACGCTGTTATCTGTTGTATTTTAACAGTTTACTAATTGGATCCTTCCTGTGTTGTAGGCGTAAATTACACCACTCGGCAAATGGGAATCCTTGCAAAGCCTAACGTGGTGATCAGCATGGGTGATGATGAGTTTATCACACTAAAGTCTGTGACTACATTCAAGACCACGGAGTTCAAGTTCAAGCTGAATGAGGAATGCGACGAGGACACTGCTGACGGCAGAGCCACCAAGGTGGGTCATCCCAGGTCCAGCCAGACTTTATTTTACACACATTTTAAGGTCTTACTAAAGCCCTCTCTATAAACTTTCCTAATTTCAGACCACCATGACAATTGAGGATGGCAAACTCGTGCAGAAACAGGCTTGGGATGGAAAGACGACAAGAATTGAGCGAGCAATTGAAGATGGAAAACTAATAGCTGTAAGTAACTGATGGTTTATCTGTGCCATTAAAGCTGTTTGCTCTTTACATGCAGTCTGCATGCCTAACATGGCGCTTTTGCTGCTCTACAGCTTTAAGTGAATGAATGTCTGACCTTTGAACCCTGTCTCAACAGAAATGTTACATGGATGATGTTGTTGCAGTGAGGACCTATAAGAAAGTAGCTTAATGCACTCTTTGTGAAGAGTTCCTGTTCCTCTGTTCCTTCAAGACTGTGCGCTACTGCCAAACATGCCAATAAAGTTTAAACTGTGACACTTCACTCTGTCTGACTCTTACTACAAAGTCTTGTACTTGTGAAGCATCAAATGCATAAACTCAAATGTCACATGCTACTCACCCATGCAATTCAACATCCTTTACCTATTGGGGTTTAAATGATTGACAATGTGTGCAGCTCATGTCTTACTCAAAATTTACAGTGGAGCCAGTTTGTCTCCATTTCTAACACTACTTTCAAAGCCAGACTAATTCCCTTCAGTTTAACAGATTGGACTTTAAAAGGCATTTTCAATATGGCTGGTTCAATTCCAAGAATTACATTATAGACTGTATCAATACAGCATGTCCTGCATCCAGATGCCTATCACTATGCAAGCGTGCATCCTTTACTAAAAATGCTGTGCCAGCTGCACATCAGGTCAAAGTTAAGGGTGCAAAATTAAGGAAATACCTCCCTGTATAGCTGCACTAGTTTAATGTTCGTAGCTGGCATGACCTGCAGTTACCTTTTCTTCTAAACTTTAGCAAACTGTTTAGATGTGAAACCTGATTGGCTTAAACACACATCTGATCTTGAAGCTAGAGGGGAAGGGGGTTACAAAGGCCTTTTGTTTAAACAAAGGGAAGGAAAGCTCCTAAAGTCAGAGTAGCCCTCATATGACAAGGTGAGAAGGCCAAATCCCTGCTTGCAGTTGGAGCAGTTACCTAGTCTTGGTTGCATGGATGCAAAATTCAAGTGAGTGCACATAATTAATTTTAATTAGGGTCCTTTAGAGCACTACACTGAGGTATAAATCCTCAAAGATTTCCAGGCTGTAGTGAATGATTGTGGCCCCAGGTGGTGGTCAAGCAACAATGAGTATTGACTAATGACAAGCTGCTTTGTTTTGTCAAGTGCCATGTTATGTAAGATGGTGCCATATGCACACAAATGTTTTTGGTGCTTTGCCTGCACAAAGAATGTGTTGTGGAGCATTTACTTATATTTTTAAAATGCATGCTCAGATATAAATATAAGGTATGCGGTGAAACCTGAGGTCCTACCAGCTCAAAAAAACAAAACAAAACCCTACAGATTAAGCATGCTTATGGTGTTGTATGGGTGCCAGCTTTAAGAAGCATACTTCCTTTGAAATTGCTTAGCTCCCTTAAACACAATGACATGATCAGCTGCTAAATTCTTTTGTTCTTTTGTTCATTATGAAAGGATGTGGTAGCTGTGTGCACACCAATACTGTAACAATTATTCCATTTCTGTTTTATTTAAGAAAAGCAGCCTGTTGATTGTGATGGAATAATCTCAATAACGACAGGTGGTTTCAGGTCCTACAAGGATCTCATTCATCAGCATGAAGCTGTAAGAAATGACATTTACTGTTACACAATAAATCGTGATTCCAAAATTTGGGACATTCTGTAAAATGGGAATAAAAACAGAATTCAATGATTTGCAAATCTTGCACACAGAACACATATCGTATGTATCAGCTGACTCATTTTACTATTTGTTTCATGATGATGAGGCTGCAAAATGTTTTCAATTAAAATAACATCTGAATCAGTTCATCAGTGGGACTCTTTTACTGTGAAGCTATGCTGTTGTGATAGATGCAGCATGTGGTTTGGCATTGTCTTGCTGGAAAACATGTCACCTTGATGGGAGCATATGTTGATCTAAAACCTGCAAGTGCCTTTCCATAGGCATTGATGCACCCAATTCCTGCACAGCAGGGTTTTAAAATCAGTCCTGATGACAAGCACTCACTCCTCTTTAGTCCAGAGGACATGGTGTGCATGCTTTCCAAAAAAGTTTTAAATTTTGATGGGTCTGACCACAGACACGTTTTCTACCTGCCCTCAGTTCATTTTAAATTAGCTCTTTCTAGAGAAGATCCAGATTTCTAGATGGCTTCTTTATTGCATCATACATTTGTAACCAACATTTGTGGATGGCAGGGTGAACTTTGTCCACACTTTCATTTTGAATAAAATATATGTTTATGATTTTGCAAATCAATGCATTCTGCTTTTATTTTACACACACAACTTTTTTGGAACTAGGCTTGTATTTGCAGTCATCTTATGTAGTCTCATGTATTCATGTAGTTAATCTCATAAGTTCTATAACAATGTGATAATTACAGATGCAGTTATCCGAGAAAATCCAGAAGTAAGTCCTGAAAATCTTTTGCTGCCGTACTTTCTCATTTGAATATTAAATTGTGTGAACTCGAAGACCCCAAATGTCTCACTATCACTGCAACTTCTACCTCGCAGATATGCTGCACCCTTGTGGTTGATTCCCGTAATAGCAGGCAACTATCGGGCGGCACCACTACATCCTGCTAGGTGGAGAGGGGAGGAGGGGTAACAGTTTAACGTGAATTATAAATAGAGATTTTTTTTTAAATTGAAAAATATTATTCAATTTATTTGAATCCATAACATCGCATATCTTTACAATATCTCTATCTTGACACGTATTTATTTTCTTCGTCCAAATGACGTCACGTGACGCAACGCGATCAAACATGGCCGACAAAGAAAACAGAAGTATGGATGTCGATAAGAGAAAGAATAAACCTTGTGGTAGTCAAGTTAAGCCATTATCTGACGAAGTTACCCAAAGAAAAGACAACCGGGGCAGCACTGACGGCAAGAAGGACGCCGAAGAAAGCCGTGTCACGACACGATACTGCGAGAAACTACAGGCATGGATGTGGCAGTACTACAGTGGATATGTGAACTGGCAAAGCTGGCTAGCAGCGTCAGCCATGTCCTACCCTTACTGTTTACAGCCACCTAACGGGACTTCGACCGTTCTTGATATCAACTCCCAGCACTGGCATAATAATCCGTTTGGTCTTCCGTTGCCTCCTTACCCACCCGCGGCCGGCTCCTCGAGCGGCCGTGCAGGTGAAACCATCGTCGGGGCAGCAGTGCCTGCTCAGCCGCAGCAGCAGCAGGCGAGGGAGAATGGAAATGCACCGAGACCAGGTAAAAGCTGCTACAGACAGTATAACCATATCCGATTTTTCCTAACTCCAAGGGTCACTACATTTGAGGGTTATGATGACCCTCTGGGACTGAGCGCCTTTAAAAACAATTGAAAGGCAGTCCGGCATCCCTTAATAAAACAAACTTCTTTGCTTCTTTTCTCCAGGCCGAGAGTACAGTATTCCTTCTCCTCTCCAAAGACTAATGGCTGAGATGGTGGATTTCTTCATATTGTTTTTCATCAAAGCAACTATAATCATCAGTATTATGCACCTTAGTGGAATCAAGTGAGTTTGTGTATTTATGCCATCCATCCATCCATCCATTCACTCGCTTCCGCTTATCCTTTTCAGGGTCGCGGGGGGCGCTGGAGCCTATCCCAGCTGTCATAGGGTGAAAGGCGGGGTACACCCTGGACAGGTCGCCAGTCTGTCGCAGGGCTAACACATAGGGACAGACAACCATTCACACTCACATTCACACCTAGTGGCAATTTGGATTATCCAATTAACCTATCCCCACAAGCTGCATGTCTTTGGACTTTAATGGTAAATGGTCTGTATTTATATAGCGCTTTACTAGTCCCTAAGGACCCCAAAGCGCTTTACATATCCAGTCATCCACCCAGTCACACACAGGTGATGGCAAGCTACATTGTAGCCACAGCCACCCTGGGGCGCACTGACAGAGGCGAGGCTGCCGGACACTGGCACCACCGGGCCCTCTGACCACCACCAGTAGGCAACGGGTGAAGTGTCTTGCCCAAGGACACAACGACCGAGACTGTCCAAGCCGGGCTCGAACCAGCAACCTTCCGATTACAAGGCGAACGCCCAACTCTTGAGCCACGATCGCCCCTTGTGTATTTATGTTTTTCTAAAAAATTTTATTTTTCTCCCTTCAAGAAGGAGACTCGTAATCAGACTAAGACATTCTTTAAACCTGTATCGTTTCATTCACTTTTCAGAGATGTTTCCAAGTTCGCCATGCATTTTATAGTGGAGGAAATCGATGAAGACACATCGATGGAGGAGCTGCAGAAAATGATGCTTGTTGCTCTTGTGTATCGGATATTAGTTTGTTTTTATGAGGTGAGTGGACACGGAGAAGTTTTATGCTGTTATCTGGAGTCTTGACTAGGATGTTGGTCTTAAGGGTACAGCTGCTAGGGGAACCAGGGGCTGTCGTACTCCTAAGTATTTTGCTCTGTGTGTAATTACGTCTTCCAACAAACTGTGTTCTCATAACCTTAGAGCGTCTCCATTAAAATGGGCAGGTGCCAGTTTGTCAGTGCAATAACATACAAAAACCTACATAAACTTGTTTATTCATTCCTGATTTTGTCACAGTCCCTTACTGTCAGCTGATTTGACATGCGACCCTCTTGTCTTTGGACAGCTGCCACTAAGCCGGCTACACAACAGCAACAGCGGGTTATAAGCTAACATTATGCCAGCTAATGTTAGGCTCAATTTTCCTAAAAGTCACACTTTCGCTCTGATAAACAGTTTGATTACACATCTCACGTCATATGAGGGTCTGGTTGGTAAGTGTCCGAGTCCAACAGTGTTACATTTACTTCAAAGAAAGTTTCACTAACTCTGACTAACAGCAGCTAATGGAGGCTAACAGCAGCTAGCAGTGGCAAAACCAGCAAGAAAAAGTCTGAGATATCAACTCGCCTCAGTGTCGCTGTCGTCAGTCAAAAGTGAGCTTCGCTGACTCATTGACTCTTATCGGAGTCCTTTCACAAAGTTTTACAGCCTCCTCCAACATAAATGGACTACAACACCAGCATATCAACAGCTTAGGTAGCAGACTGAAAGCTTCCACTCACTACAGACGAACAGCAGCCAGAGTTGTTTGTTCTACCGTGGCCACCGTACTTAGAGTTAAGCACTTAAGGAAGAAGACTGAACTCAGTCGACTGCAATTTGCTGACATCTAGCAGTGATATTTTACCGACCGTAACTTGTTAAATTGTTTGTGGAAAATGTATTTTATGTTTGGTAGCTGATACACGTTTCTCTTTTTAGATCATATGCATTTGGGGAGCAGGAGGAGCCACTCCCGGAAAGTTTCTCATTGGACTCAGAGTCGTGACATGTGACTCATCAGTTCTGGTTCAGCCTAACAGGGTTCTTGTCGTGCCAGCAACTAATGTCTCTCTTTCTGCGTGAGTATTTATTTATTTATTTATTTATTTTAAAGATTATTCATCAGAAGTCACAGCGTGCATGCAAACAGCCTCACATCACATAACGGTACTGTTTCTGTCTCCCTCTTCAGATCGACTGTTCGAGCCTTGAATAAGAACTTTTCCATTGCCTTCTTCTTCCCAGCCTTCATCACTCTTCTGTTCTTCCAGCACAACAGGACTGTGTATGATATGGTTGCTGGTACAATTGTTGTCAAGCGATCCAGGGTCAGATGATGCTGCACAGAAGAATGGCCCCACAATAACTCTGAACAGGCACTGAGTGACAATTTGTTTTCTTTTTAAAAATATAACGTCGACTGAACTCAGACACCTCCCTTTCAAGGTATTGTCAGAGCACAAGAGAATCGGGATGGTTGCATTGAGTTTGAGACACACCAATATGAACTGTTTCAATTTGGATTTGTTGTGTTTCTGACACACGCACTGTATTTCTGCATGTATGTCTACATGCTGCTTTCAGAATCAGGTCCTGTGCAAGGAAAAAAATGATGGTATCTGCTAAGTTTTTATTGACAGAAGATTCGCATCCTTTTTAAAATTGTCTTTCAAGATTAAGGGTGACTGTCTAACTTGGCTAACTCAGTATTTAAAGTTTCAGTAGACAAGGAAACCAGAGAAGACAGGATTTTATTTAAAAGAACAGCCAGAATATGAAGATTAAAGAGCCCTTTTCTTGCACCTTTTTTTGTTCTGTTTAACCACCCCCCACTTTTAAAAAAAAAAAAATATTTAAAATAATATTAATAATAATATATAATAACATTTTGCACTGCTCACATGATCTGGTATGAAAGGCAACAAGATTAGAGGCAACAAATCTCTAATGCACGAACATTTCCCCTTTTAAGGAGGCGCAGACTCTAGGAGATAGATATGTAAGTTTCTGTCCCATCTAAAGGTGCTGACAGTGTCTCAGCAGCAGCTTAACCAGGCATTAACAAGTGCTCATGTCATTTTTCCAAGCGTTTATTTTCTAGTCATTTCCTGGGGGATGTGCGTTGTGATTGGCCAAGGTCTACTGGGGCAAATTTTTCATTTTTATTTTTTATTTTTTAAAAAGCTTGAAGACAGAGCTGGGAGAAGGTGCAAGACTCTAGTTTCCTTTCCATCTGCTTGAGTTATTATGCAGTTTTTTTCTAAAAACATTTTGCCTGCAACAAGTTTAAGTTGCTAATCCTGCATTAATGAGATTACGCCATCAAGTATGTCTTTGTATTAAATACGTACCCCCAGACTTGTATGCTCAGACTTAAAATTTTTGATCATTGCTCACAGTGGGAATCATGCATTAATGATAACGTGTGATTATTGCTGCTTTGTAATAGCTGATTGTAGTCTTATCATTAGCACTAACATTTGGGAGAAATTGAAGCAGAGGAGTAACAAATGGAAAAACACCACATGGCTGGATGGATGGATGATACCACAATATGCAAAATGCCCTATGATCTGTGCAAAGGTGATTGAAGCTGCCGTGGAATCAAAACCACTTAAGATCTTATGATAATCCCTACTAATTGGCCTAATTTAATAACAGATGGCATTATCAAGTGTTTACACATTTAATTATGAGAGCTTATAGAGGAAATGTACTGTGACAATTTCTGCTATAAAAAATGCATTAATGGACATTTTCTACTCCAGTTTCCTTGATCAAAGACACTGTTAAGCATTTTCTTCTGTGTGCTAAAGTACCAAAAATGCCTGCTAGATATGCTGTGATGAAATCTACTGTGTAACTTGATGACAATCTGTAAATGGGCCGACTTCAGTCGTGAGAGGATTACACTGTGTAAAAATGGCAGCTTACTGATCCTATTTTTCTTATTAATAAGACTTTGGCTCCACCTGTTGTACATCTGTTGGTCTTGCAGACATCAGGCTTCTGCCTCTTGTGATGAATCACAGAGATCACTACATGGTAACATGCCTACATTTGTCTCTTTGTGATTTTCATTCATCCTCGCCGAGAACCAATCGCTGTGTGCCCGTGACATGAATCAATCCGACTCTTAACAGCAGCTTGACTCAGCTTGTTTTTGAGACGTTTCTCCCATGCTTAGACTTTTCTGGCATGTCACATGTGCTCCGAGGGGACTGTGGAAGCGCCAAGTGTTGGCAACTGTTGACATGGTGATTGTGTTAGGCCCACTAAGTGGCAGTTTCAGCTGACAGCCACAGATGGTACTCCCAGATTACAGAGCGACTCCCTGCCCCCCCCCTCACATGCGGCTGCCATGCATCATGCCATAGGGAATAGAAAAATGTAGCTTATTGTTGTGAAGAAAGTGTGGGCAGACACTGCCCACGAGTATCACTGTGCTATATTCTGATGAGTGAGTGTAGCTCAGTTTGGAGTTGAAGCGTTTTTTGTAATTGATTTTATTATTGACATCTTCTGGCTCACATCCAAAAAAAGAGTGCAAGAGACAGATTTTAGGAAAGCTCAAGGGGACATTTATCCCCGTAGTTAATGGCAAATTTTTGTGTTTAACTTCTTAATATTTTACAAAACCACTCAGCTGCCGAAGTAAATGAAGACCTTGCAATCGCTTGTAGTTAGAAATACTCCTGGCATTAGTATGTAAATCCCACCGATGATCGCCTACATTTCCATAAATGGAAATGTGCCACTAAGCATGGAAGTGCTGGAAGAGATTCCTCATGTAGCCTTGTAAAAATAAATTAAAATATCAATTTTTAAAACATGAAAGGAAATAATGGAGGTTAGAGGAGGTGAGCTGGGTGCAAAAATGTATCGCTCATAGTATATTTATGTTGTCATGCCCTGCTTCAGAAATCTACTTCCTACCTGTCACATGCCATTCGTTATCAACCTGATGTGTCCAGCCTGAGTTCCTGCCACTCTGTCTGGCTCTTTTAACAAGGAAGTCATGTACAGGCTCACGGATTTCTCAGACAGCCATGTGTCTGTGTCTGAACAAAGCCATGTACAAGCCAGAAGGAATGAAGTAAACAGTCTGGGCTCAACTAGACTAAAATATTCCCTAAGTTTGTGTCCTTACACTCATTATTTGGTCATTAGATCCTCCGCAGTGGCAGGTGGTGCTGCTGCTCTTCACACACAGACAACAGCAGCAGGCTCCAGGTGTTTTGAAGTCGTGGAAAGGTGCTGTGGGCTGAAATAGTGCTCGCTGCTGATGCTTTTCCTCTCTGGTGTGTCTGTGCCTGTTGGTATTCCTCTCAAGTGGCATCAGTAATTACAGGCTGGCTGGGTTCTGCCTGAGTGGAAAGGGCTGTTGATGAAGAGGAGACCTGTTGACTGGGGAGGGAGATAAGTGACTGCTCTAACGCTAGGGATGTCATAAGGCAACACATATTTCATGGGCACATTCACACACATAAAAACTTTTGCTGGCTCCTAATGTCGCTACCTACATGCACAGAATTTATTCAGCTGCGCAGATCAGCACTTATCTAATGGTTTCTCATTTAGTTTATTGCTTTTTTAAAACTTTATATGTTACTACTGGAGAAAAAAATGTCTAAGAGAACTAACCTTAATGTTTAACCCTATGTTTTGGCAAAAAGAAAAGAGATTACTGGGGAAACAAATAAGGGTTGCTTCATATAAAATGTCCGTTTTTAATGGGCTATAATGGAAAATAGTTATTAGTTATTGGAAAAAGAGCTTTCTAACCTCTGTGGGATTTACTTGGCTAATTAACATTAAATCAAATGCACACACTGGCTATTTTGTTCAACTGCTCGTTAATGCAAATATCTAATTAGCCAATCACATGGCAGCATCTCAGTGTATTTAGGCATTTATATCTGGGTGTTACGAAACTGCTGATCTACTGGGATTTTCCCACGCAACCATCTCTAGGGTTTACTGATAGTGGACTGAAAAAGAGGAAAATATACAGCAAGTGGGTAAAAATAGTAACTCAAATAACTACTCATTACAACAAAGGTATGCGGAAGAACAGCACTGGAATAATGAGGCTACATTTTATACAGGCTCACCAAAATTGGACAATAGAAGTGTTGCCTGGTCTGATGTGACTAGAATTTTGCTGCGACATTTGAATGGTGGTTTCAGAATTTGGCATAAACATCATGAAAGCATGACCTGCCTTGTGTGTGCAGGTCAGGCTGATGGTGGTGGTATTAGGATGTTTTCTTGGCATACTTTAGGCCCCTTAGTACCAACTGAGTATTATTTAAACACCACAACCTACCTGAGTGTTGTTGCTGTCCCTTTACAACCACAGTCTGCCCATCTTTGTAAAGATCATTGTAGGGTCTTTACCTTACCTTAGAGCGCTTTGAGGCAACTGTTGTTGTGATTTGGCACTATATAAATAAAATGGAATTGAACTGAACTGAATCTTCTTCACGCGTACCTAATCACATTAAAACCATCAAACAATCTGTAGGTCACTTTTTGTGGCACCTGTGATTGGACTGGGATAATTTAATTTAGCGGTCGAGTCGTTGCCCTGGGCTGTTTTTACAGAGAGGTTTGGGGACTGAACAATTGAATTTTTAAACTTTTTCAAAGCAGGCTGTTATTTTTATTATATGTCTTACCTTGAAGTACATGTAGTTGCCACCTCTACCCAGTTCTTGTTGTTATTTTAGACAACTGTAATAACAGTGACGCTGCACTCAGTGGCCCTTTGCTCAAAAGAAGAGTGGTTTGAATATTATTATTTTTATTTTTTTTGTTTGTATTGGAATTTTAATGGCATTGGCTCAATAGCTTACATACAGTCGATTAGTCTGATCAGCAGTTTACTATTTGAGGTTATTTCCTTTTACAGTTCCAATAAATTAACAATTAAAGGGCTTTCTAGGATAGTTGAAGAATAAGAATGCGTATGATGTGAACTCATTTTCCAGAATAGTACATTGCCTGTGCAGGAGCTCATTTTCCTGTTATAAAAATAGATGTGAATATGAGGCGCGTACAAACTCAAGATGAGTGATATAAAAGCATACAGAGAGACTGTGAGTGTGTGCATTGAAATGAAGCAGTACAGCATTCATACCATTTTCTGTGACATAACAGCGGGTTTCTGGGTTTGTGTTTCTGAATACAGTAGATTTCTGCTCTAGGCAGTGAGTGGCTTGAGTTGTCAAGACAACCATGGATACTGCAGAGAAATTCAGCCTTTTCTCTCTTTCTTAGATTATGGTGGTGTAGAGCAAAATCAGATGGAAACTCCTTCATGTTTGGTGAGAAACTGAAGGGTAAAAAAAATATGTCTGTCTCGCTGGTATCATTTAGAAAGCCGCTTGTCTTTTTGTGGCTTACTTGTGACTTCGGTTTCCTTTATCTCAAGAGAGTGTATCTTGGTTACATGTCAGCAATTCACTGGGCTAAGATCAAATGCTAAAACAGTTGCTAAATATAATTAGAATAAAAAGAAGAGCGTGTACAGTCATGTGAAAAAGTAATTTTTGTATGTCACAATGTTTTGGCCATAATGCACAACATATCAGCACGAACACCTCATACTAACTCTTAAGCACGGTAGTGGTGGGATAATGAATTGGGTTTGTTTTGCAACCACAGGACTCTCTTCTAGAATCAAATGTGAGGCCGTCTGTCCTAAAGCTAAAGTAAAGCTTGGCAGAATTTGGGTCATGCAACAAAAGGATAGTGATCCCAAGTGCAGCAAATCTACGCGAGTATAGCTGAAAAAGAAAAGAATCGAGGTGAGGCAATCGCCCAGTCAAAGTCCAGACCTCGAAATGCTGAAGTGGAACATGAAGAGAGGTGAGCAATAAACAACAACATGCCCACAAACCTCAATGAACTGAAACGCTGTACAGAAAAATGGGCCAAAATTCCTCTGCAATGATGTGAGAGACTGATAGTCATACCGAAACTGCTGGGACGCCCACTCCCGCAGAAGGTCCTGTTAGAAGCTACTGAAGCATGTGGGGTACACGCGACTGCATAGTGCTGCAAAAACTTTCTTTTTCACATGACTGTAGCTGAGCTTTAAATTGGTTAGATGAGCATAATCTGCAGCTTTTTGACTCAATGTGTTTATTAAACGAACTCTTTAGTTCAAAAGGGGTCATGAATATTTCATAAATTTAATAACAGTAAATTTTGAGAGTTTTACATTGCTTTAATCTGATTCCATATGCCTGTGTTTATAACATTTACTCATATTGGGATTTGCTGGATGCCATAAGGCGGAGACAAATGGCAACATACTGAAGTATCTATCCAGCTCTGAGCTACAGCTCAAG